GCCGCAACGTAACGGGGGGGAATGCATGTTTTGTATTTTTTATCGTGAACACATCCATCCCTATGTATTATTTATCATGAATCCTGAATGCATGTAGTATTCAAGGTTCAAGTCATTATTTAGTTGAAAATCTTAGGTCACAGGCTTCTCCAACAATGCAACACAATAACACAGATAAGCAGACAATATTAACCAATATTAAAATATACTATATTAAAAATAAAACGAAAATAAAAATGTTTTTTCTTTAAAAAAAAAAGTGAGAGAAAAAAAAAGTGGAATAGTGCAATACGACTCGCACTAAATCAACATAATGTGAAGTCAGCATTGTGGGGATTTGAAGACCGTGGAGTCTACACATCAGAGTCCTGCACGGGTCTGATTTTCAAGACCCGCTCCCGCCTCGCACCCGCGACGTGCAATACCGAACCCGCCCCGCTACCCGCACATATTGCCAATTAGTTCCGCAACCCGACCCGACCCGTCGGCAGTCTCGGCACAGGATCCGCATATATATGAACAGTGAAAAATTGCAATTATTAACACACGCAGTTGCATATTTATCTCAAAAAGCGTGGGATGTTGGTTATTCTCTCCATCTAGGATGACACCAAAAGCCTCCCAGACGTTGGATTTCGCTCTTGAGGAAGAGTTATTGAAAATGCTGTATTCTCCGTAGAGAGCTTCACCTCAGCCATTCAGAATGTGGCGCGCTCAGCAGCAGATTGATGCGCTGCAGAGGTTATGATTATGCTCGGTCCCGCGGGGGAGAGGTCTGAGGATTTAACATTAAACTAAATTATTATTATTTTAATATATTTATTATGCAACACCCGCGACCCGACCCGCATCATCTTTTTTTTACCCAGAACCGAACCCGGAAAAAAGCATTTAAAAAAATACCACCCGCGAATCACCTTTTTTGCGGGTCACCCGTCAGGCACCCGACCCGATGCAGGACTCTGAGTCAAAGTCCCGAAAGCCATACAACAAACACACACTGAGAGGTAAACGCTAACTTGTTGTTGGTTCCGAAAATGAGTAAGCAAAGAAAATAAAGTGCTGCAGGAATGAGTCTTAAACCCAGATGTGACATCACTTCCTGTCCTCTGGTCTTGAAGTCAATGGTTTTATGAATGTGTTTTAGCCTGAAATAAGGTCTGTGGTTAAAACAAGCTTAAGAGATTTTAATTCCACGACATAAGATACGACAGTAAATACCCCAAAGGTGAATAAAGAAATATAATAATATGAAATATAACACAATATAATATGTTGTTGCACCTGAGCAGCTGATTGGTGGATGTTGAATCCAGGAATTGACTCCAGTTTATCCAGAGTTCCTCCTGTGTGCGCTAAGCCCCGCCCACTGATCATCGGCACCTGAGAAACACACCTGAAGTCATTATGACATCACAAACACACACTAAAGGTCATTATGACATCACAAACACACACCAGAGGTCATTATGACATCACAGACAGAGTGCTCTTATCGGCAGAAAATATCAGCACATTGTGATGTGGAATTCCAAAAATAAATTCCCTCTAAAATGCCACAAATGTGCTGTGTTCCCATCAAATTAAGATTGAAGAATGTGTAGGAATGGATTTCAAAATAAAAGCCCATTAAAATGTCTTAAAGAGCTGCGTTCAGATTAGTTTACTATAATAAGAATGTTGTGATCTTACGCAGCGAATGGTTAAATCTAACTGTTATGATTTTTTTTTAAATGTAATGATCAAGATGTTGTAACATGGCAAAGCCTAAAAATAACTACTTACTTACCTCCAAAACAGACTAGATATCACGGCAAGAACTGATTTAAAAATAAACGCCCTATGAGTTGTCACATACGAGCTGAGTTCCCTAAATAAATAAAACATTTACATAAATACATTTAATTTTACCTTACAGCCGCAGGCAGCTAGGGCAGGTGCTAACACCAAACTGACTTTATCTCCGACGCCTCCTGTTGAGTGTTTGTCGACCACAAGCCCCGCCCACTCCTTCGGCCATGACATCACTTCCCCCGATGACATCATCTCACGGGTCAGCGTCTCGACCTCTTCGGGGACCATTCCCTTCTGCCAGATGGCCATCAGCATGGCTCCTGAACGGAGGAAAAAGGTGATGAAACAACATGAAGAAAGGGACCGTGTACGTTTTAAAAAACTCAGTCCGCTAAAATGTGTTGACGTTGTTGAGCTGATGCACAAAATGTCCCATAATGAGAAGCCTCAAACAGTCCAAAAACACTTCTGAATTAAACTCAGCGTGTATCCATCATGGTAAATGATAATCAGGGTTATTACATGGCTTAGTTTACTCGATTTTGATTTGTCAATTTGAACAATCTAGGGGTTGTTAATTTTCGCTAACAGACTGTTGTTAAGTCCAGACTGTTGCTAAGGATAACAGACTGTCGCTAAGGAGAACAGACTGTCGCTAAGGAGAACAGACTGTCGCTAAGGAGAACAGACTGCTGCTAAGGAGAACAGACTGTTGCTAAGGAGAACAGACTG